CACCACCCCAACCCTCACCACCAGTCTAAAACTATGAACTAGAAAAACACTTACACTGGGTGGCAAAATGACTACACATATGGACACATACACACACCCATGCATGCACACAGAGGTCCATTTGTTACAGAAGGTCACTAATGAGCACACGTGCCTTTCAAATGAGCTGGTCAGACATTTGGGCAAGGCAGCCAAAGGGGTATATGAAATAATCCCCAGAATGTCCCTTCCAGAAAGATCTCTAAAAGGAGACCCATTTGGACAAGGGACTCAGGAATCAGCACCGGTTCCTGCTCCCTCGTTTCCTGTCGCGGGGAGAACAATGCCATGCAGACCAACACAACCTCCACTTGGTAGCATAAAAACCAGGATTCCGAGAGGTCGGGTGGGCCTCCCAGCATGCGAAGGCAGAAAGAGAGCTGAGGCCCACATCTCCTAGGTCAATGCAACTCAAAGTGGCGGGGGGTGGTCTACAGAGTGGGACTAGTCCACAGAGTGTTTCTACTCTGTGAAGAGGTAAATACCAAAATTGAAGGTAAGTGTTCTGGAAACGTTTATAGCAATTTGACAGAGGAATTTTGTGTCTTCAAATTCAATAATAAAATTGAAGGCTTGTATTTTGGACGTCCTTGTTTTTTAATTTCATTTTCCTACTAATTTATTTTTATTGTACCAGTCCATGATGGTTTAGAGTTTTTAAAAACTGTTCTGTTTCTCCAGGCACCCAGAGTCCCCTAACTCTTTAGCCAAATTCCCAAGGCTACCATATCCCCTTCCCCAGTCCTTCCTGCCTCACCCAGGCTCTCCTCAGTCCTCCTGGCTCAGAACCCGCTTTACCCTTCCTTTCAAGGCGGCGTCTCTCAGTAAATGGGTGGCGGTAGAATCTCTGAGGGCCCTCTAACTTATGAGCTGTGAGTGCCGATTCCCGTAAGACACTTTGAGGCTCAGACCAAAACAAAGAGTTAACTGAATGACCAGCCATCCATCAACACAGCCAAAACACAGGACTCTGGTCCCAGAAAATGGCCACGGTAAAAGAGGAAATGACTGGAAACCTGTCAATGGGCCTTACCCACATTAATTAACCTGAGGCCTCAGTCTGCCCGATAGATGCTGTCTATCCATTATTCTAAACCTGAAAGGCAAAGTAAAATGGCCTCACCTCACTTCTCCAGGGAGGTCGACAGACAGGGAGAAATCCCACACCAGCTTGGGGAGAAACGGGAGGTTATTTACAAAGTGAGTCGTCAGTGGGTGACATCAAGTGTGATGAAGTATTATGGGAAGGGAGTGGGATGTGGAGATAGCATTAGCTCTGCCAAGCAGGACCGACTGAATCGCCCATTACAACAGAGTCCTGAACTCGCTGGAGAAAAGAATTTCAACACATACATGCCTCCTTGAAACTGAATGAATGGCAATGATGGCAATGATATAACAACAGAACCAACAGAGGAAACCACAGGTAACAGAGGACCCAGGTTGCACCAACCTTCCCCAGAGTGCAGGTATGCTGGGGCTCAGGGTAGGTCTGGGGTCCAGGCAGACCGCCTTTTTCAGTATTTCCAGGGACAAAAGGACAGTAATTTGAACATAAGCACCTTTCAGAGTTAATACAACGCGTCATCAGCAAGGCCAAAAACGCAGAGAATCTAGGGAGAAGTACATGAGTGAGTGTTCTAGTAAGTTGGCACTTGTCTGGGTATTTGAAATATTTTAAAATTTAAAAAATTTTTTTTAAGTAAAGCCAGAGAACAGATGCATGGTGCTGTTTGGAAACCTTTTGCCACGAACCAGGAATTCTGATTCAATCCAGTCAAAACCAGGTGTGCCTCCTCGTGAAGAAAACTGTTCTGCTGCTCCACATTTGGCCTGATGATGCGACAAGTGGCTGCCCACCACCTTGACCTCTGCCCTGCAGCCCCACTCACCTTTCCCCTAGGCCAGCAGGGAAGCAGGGTTCAACCCACCATGCGCCTCTATCAACAAAACGGGCAGTGGCTATCAAGAGAGCGGTCTTACGGCCTCTAAGGCACTTCTTGGGCACCAACCTGCACCACAGGCAAAGGGTCAGGAAGGTGACAAACATTCCTCAGTTGACAATCTTCCAAAAGTCTATGGCCAGCACCCAGCTGGCTCAAGAGCCTACCCCAGCCCCACTCCAGGCAAGCTATGCACCAGACTTAGCTGCACAGCACACAGCCAAGGTCAGGCACTGACATTTCATAAGACGTGACTAACGTCCTGGGAACCAGAAAAAGAAATGTGAGCACAGGCTGTGAAGGTGTTTCATTTTAATCGCATCTAAGGCCTGCCATCTAAGTCCTCATTTCTTGTTCTATGATACGCCTTTTCCAAGATTACTCATCTTTGACGATAACAGGAAAACATCATTAACTTTAAATCCCATAATCTGGATTTGTTGATTAATATATTTCAATGTCTGCACTACTGCGATAAAAATAAAATGAAACAAAACACCTTCTACCTAAAACAACTTCTTCTTTACATTAATTCGTTCAGGTCATCATGCTGCCATGTGTCAGGTTCTGTGCTAGTCACGGGTGGTAAGAAGAACAATAAGGCCAATCCTAGCCATCAAGGAATTCACTCTAGACAGACCCACGGTAAGTAAAACGCATTCCAGTTCCCTCCCTCATTTTGTCCACTTTCTTTGGCTGTAAGTGTTCATATGATCTACTAGTGTGGCTTGGGTTTTTATTATTATTTTTTTTTTTTTAAAGATTGGCACCTGGGCTAACAACTGTTGCCAATCTTTTTTTTTTCCCCCTGCTTCATCTCCCCAAACCCCCCCGCACACAGTTGTATATCCTAGTTGCAGGTCCTTCTAGTTGTGGGGGGGTTTTATTTTTATCACCAACACTGCATCTTTCTCTTCCAGTCATATCTCAAGAAATGAAGCTTAGAAGCTGGTTCTTTGAGAAATTAGAGCATAAAAAACCAGGTATGGGATCTACCAACCCATTTGAGAGAAATCAACTTCCCAGTAATACCCTCTCTTATCACAGGCTCCATGGTAGTCAAGGGTTAGAGTGAGTCATTTGTTCTTAGAAGCCAATAATCTTCTTGATCCAAATTGACTCATATGGTTGCACACAAACTTAAGCATAAAGCCAGGACAACTTCTTCCTATCTAAATCAGAAGAGAGAGGATTTTATAATACAGTTGGGGGAGAACGGGGAGCTACTTCTCCAGCTTCAGGAAGACTCAATTATTTCCACACTCCTGGGAGTTGCCAAAGTGTGTAGAGGCCGTGTGCTTTATATTCGGAAGGCTATTTAAAGGATTATAAGAAACGCAAACTCATCTGTGATACGGCTTTCAAGTTATAAATGTCAGTGACAGCCAAGTCTGCTGCGTTGGGAACTCCTCCAACAACAGGTTGACAGCAGCCCAATTCGACGGCTCTGGAGGAGGCTGACAGACAGCTGCTCTTTCAGTAGTTATTCCCAAAGGAGCCAAGAGGCTGCTCCAAAGGCAGCTAGGTACGGCATGAAGGGGGAAGGTGACAACATATTGGGTGCCAGATAGACACAGCCCAGGAGCACCATATGACGTCAGCTCGTCTGCCTGCTCCATGAAGGCTGTCAACCCCACACAGTGCAGACACTGCCATAAAAAAAAACAAAAAAAATCACAGGAAAGACAGAAGGATGCTCATCCTTCCCATAGCATAAGCCACAGCAACTGGGTATCAGGGACCGCAGACCCAGCTCTGAGTCTCGAGGATGCCAGCTTGCTACCCCCAGCTGCCATGCCTAGCATCTCTTGGAGAGCAGTGACAAACCTCCCTATCTGTCAACACGAAACTAATTTCAGAACAGACCTTTGAAGATAGGTTGCTCAATTGTCCAGTCCCTGAAATGGAGTCCCACTCCAATTAAGTCATGTGTGGGGTGAGTGCATGGGGAGCGGTGGGGAGGGACAGATTAAATATGCTTATTGCACCTTAAAATCCCACATGTTTAGAGATTCAAAATGCCTTTGTGGCTCTGAAGGAGACATTTATTTCTCTGGTTTCTCTCAGCAGGACAAACTCTCAAGGTGACAGCTAGTGAGAAGCCTGTGATAAAAGTCACATGGTCACATGATTTTCTAGCTCTAACATTAAGGCTTTTATTCACATCAAATGCTCGTCTGCTTGTGAGTTGCTGAGTGGTTTTTTCCCCTCCTGTGATGTTGTTAGAGACAAAGTTTATTCAAAGACCCACATACATAAAAGAAATGAGAATTAGGAATGTTTAATGTTTCATTCTGTTGGCCCCATAACCTTGACATCCAAATCCTATCAGCCTGTGAAATCCAAATATTCTACTCCCAAGATGAACGTCTGATTTACCAAGGTAACTCTCAAGGGTAACCTGGATTGTAGTTTTAAGCGCTACAGGCTATTCAGTTAAAACAAGGAAGTACTTAGCAAATTTCTTCCTCTATAAAATATATTCATAACTGGAGACTTAGGAAAATGTACTCCTTGAGCAGCAGTTCCTTAATATAGACAGAATTCAGAGATTACGAAGTCTTTATGAGTCACAATCTCCAGTTCATTGGCTTTACTTATGTTTACATCATGATCTGTGTCAGGTCTGGGTTGGGCTGCACTGAAGGGACCAGCCCTTCTATGTAAGAGTAATCAACCACAACCAAGCTCAATAAATTTGTGTTTGATAATGACTGAATAAAGTAATAAATGGCCTTCTGCTCCAGTCACTTTACTGATTTGAGAGAGGAAATATCCTTGCGCAATTATCCAAAAAAAATTCAGTTCCACCAGGCCTTAACCAGATAGACAGAGATGTCCCCTCAGGATTGGGGTGGCACAGGTAGAGCCATCCCTTGACCCTTTGGGACTACAGTATCTGTATGTTTATGGTTCTAAATGCTAACGTGACTCAACTACTTGGTCCTTTCCCTCCCAAGGACAAATACCCTGGGTCTGGGCTTAGCCGCATGAATATCTGCTTACTACAATACTTACACCGCCTAATGGATCCTCCTCCAATGTCCACTTTAGAACAGTAATCACTCCTGAAATCACAAGGACAAAGACATTTTTAAGTTTCTCCTCTTTAAGGACTTGATCCATTGCAAACAGGCTGACACAGAGCTTCTATGAACTCTGCTTCTCCCATTTTGGAACCCAACTGCCTTTTGAGATGGATATTTAAAAGTAGCTAGGTGGGAGGCCTGATCACTTCAACACCCAGAGGCATGTATCTAAAAAATTCTATTATCTCACTTGTTAGGATCCAAATCTGTCCGTTGTTAGTTCAGCAGGAGTAAGGCTACATTTGGCAAAGATGGAGCATCTGTACAAAACGGCTCTTTGTTCCAAGTCTCAGGAGGCATTAAACCAAAGCTTTTACCAAACCTAATGCTTTCCGGACTAGATTACATTAATATATACACACAGTCCCAAGTATATGCATACACACAACTTTAAAATAGATAGCTCTATTACAAAAAACTAAGGAGTTTGCTATATGAGATAAAGCCAACTGAATTACAAGCCTGTTCATTCAAATATAACAGATTTCTTGTAGCCGCTTAACCTTGAAGAATAAAACCAAAAAAAGGAGTAAAAAGCTATTCTAGAAATATATCTACTATGTGCTACTGATATAGCTAACATTGTTCCTCTATAAAGCTTCTTTATAAGAAAAGGGAGGAAAATATGTCCTCTAACAGATACATACAGTGTGTTTCTGATATTCACAGAATTTATCAGCAGAGAATTATAAAACTGAAAGAGTTCAACAGGGAGGGAGGGAGAGAAAGAGGGAGGAAGAAAATAAAGACCATGCTGCACAGACCCATCTTCCAGCTGACAGCCCAAGAGTCTGCATCTTCTAAGACTAACCAACTGGTCTACCTTATACTTAAGGACCTCATGGAAGAACGTGTACCATTTTCTGCTGGAAAATGTCTGAGAGGGTTTTGTTATTTTTAATCCAAACAAGCCAATTCCCTCTTTTTATGGTCTGCAGCCTATAACTACCCTTCATAGCATGAACATTTTTGTCTGTGTCAACAATCTCTGAGCAATACCAGGGATCTGTGCACTGGGGCAGCCTGGGAGAGCACTCATTCCAAATCCACCATCTCCAGGAGACAGTCTGGCGGCAGTAAACGTTTACCAAAGGATGGAAGGTTGGAGGCAACTGAATCAATGCCAGCGACCACGTGGCCCTCCTTTTATACCAGCCTCTGTTTGAGATAGCTCTGAGGTGAAGGAATGGTTTTTGAAACTGGATTATCGTGATACAGAAAAAGCTGCTAACTCCAGTAAGTCCAGTAATTAAGATATATTGTGAGAAAACAATCCTAAGCATCTTGGTCAACATCAAAACCTCATTCATGTGTATGGAATAGGCTAATAAAATGAGTACCCACATGCCTCAGACCTAAATAATATCAACTTACTTTCAATGCTTTTACTCTTTTCGGTATGTTTTCACACACATCTCATTTGGTACATTATATGGCAATTTTCCTTGTGAGTATTGGGATCAAGTGCACGGGTAATAGGTAATTTATGAATCATACCAGTAGCAAGACTATAAGATTCAAGAAAATGTTCATGATGTGCCAAAAGAAAAAAAACTTTTCACCCTTTACCTCTCCCAATGCTTTCAAATTTGGACTTTTTTCTTTAACAATAATCACACTAATTAAGAACTCAATCTTGATTTTACCTTAAGAATCAGATAAGCTGCTCCCTGAGTCATATGAAAACTACTGCATTACCCCTGGCTCTATATGGGAGCAAAATTCATGGTCACTAAGAAACCTAAGGTCATTCACGTCTACCCTCAACAAAGCTTTAATGCTCAACTTATCTTAAATGTTTCCTACAGAGCCAAGTACACAACATTAATGAAAATTTATAGCCACTTCTAGCTGTGTCCATGGATAAAGAAAACGAAGGAAGTCCTTTCTCCTTCCTAATGTTCAAAACAGCACCACTCCAAAGATTCCATCAAGATTTCACCCAGAAGTATCTTTTCTGAGGATTAATAGGCTCCCTCAGTCTCTTCTTGGGCTTATGCTTTGACTTTCCTCCCTTTGTTAATTATACCTAAACTGTGAAAGCATTTGTAAATAGAGATCATGGGAATGCAATGCAATCTGGAAAGAAGATTAAGGCAGCAACCACAGAGGACAGACAATGAAAGAGTAGGTAGGAAAAACTGGAATCCCATTTTCAACCAACATGTACCCCTTTCATTTTATATTTTGGGTAAAAGATACTGTAAATGGCCCACAAACAAACAACCTACTTGGTAAGGTCTGCCCTCCAGGGTGGTATTCTATTAGAAATCTGTATTTGAGTTTCTTGCCTTCCCACTCCCCCCAATTCAAAGCATCTCTAAAAATGAGCCACGACAAACCAAGCATGTTGAAGGACACCTCTGCATATCCACTCTGGATCTGATGACACAGAACAAAGGTGGCCGATTCCAGACTTGTAGGTCTCACGCCTCCCCCACCCCCTCAATGCTCTTCAGCACTGGAATCTGTCAGGTTGATCTCTTTTCAATTTTATACTCAAGCTTTTCATCCTCTTTTTCCCTAAGGACAATGCTTCTCCAAATAGAGAATCTCAGAATCTTGCTGCCAAAATTAACCAGGGACATAACTCAAAGCAGGCTTTCCCTCTCAGCTTCTTCTCTTCAGCCTAATAAGTAAAGATGGCTCACTGAGAACATCAAAGGTGTCCTCTAAATTAGTTCACATGAGAAAACAGTTGAAGAGCCTATGGTTCTGCCTAAAATATCCTCATACCTAGAGAACAGATTTCAAATGATAAAACCACCTAGTAGTACACGCTAGAAACAAATCATGACCATCTTTATAAGCTTTAAGTCAGTCAATCTTTCTTATGGAACATCACAGTCACATAGAAAGAGGCCCCATAATTACAATACTGGCTTAGGATGGCTTTCATCTTATGCTGGGCAGATCAGCTAAATTTACCACACAGTGAAATTTTGCTGAGTTACAAAGATCTAGAGTGGTCCTTGACACCCAGAACTTACAAAATCTTAAACGTAAATACGTTTGGTTTCATCACAATTCAACAAACTTTCTAGCATCTTCACGTTTCAGTGAGGCCTCTCATCAAGCCTCCATTGAAAGCGTCCCAAAATATAATCAAACTTAAATGTGCCCCACATTGCTCACACTGCCTGGACTCAGAGACAGAGGTCCAGCTCTTACAAACTATGTGAGGGCAACCAACTAGCTGTCCCGGCCTCCATTCTCTGGCATCTGAGACAAGAGGTAATCATAGCACCTCGGTCAGAGGTGATGGTGGGGATTCATGAACGAACGCAACACAGCCATCACATCAGAGAGGCAGCGAGCCCTGTACAAACACTGGTGATTATTATTACTGTGGTCACTATTGCTATAACAGAAGGAAAAACTAATAGAATAATAAAAGGGCAGTTCTGGAACCAGTCAAAAACCTGGAACCACAGCCGCCAGTGGTGTCCAATTAAGTGACATTTTCATTTTGCTGACAGCTATTTTGCCAGGCAGGTGTGACAATGGCAATAATTTAGTGCCTAGGATACTCTCAAAGTTACTCTTCTCCTACAGATGGTCCCCAGGTAAACTGTGTTTGATTTACAAATGAGAAAAAACATCCCAACCCTATGACTTCTGAATTCATCACTAACTTGAATTACAGAGATAATACTCATAGCCAACAAACTTTATCCAAGATTTTACCAAGACATGACAACAGCAGGCCAGGAGACCACTTAACTAGGTTTGCAACTGTTTTTAATGTTCTTTTATAAGGTCACAAAGAACAGATCCCCTTTACAAAACTTGCACACCATCTCAAACTAAACTTGGTATTTTCATCAAAATTATTTTAACAGACACTAGGAAATTAATCTTAAAATTCTGTTTCTGGAACCCTCCCCAAGATACACCTCTTTCTGCCCCTTAGTCTAATGGTTCTCAACGTGCAGGCCCTGAACCAGCAAAATCAACATCCTCTGGGAAGTTGGGAAGGCAGAATCTCAGACCTCACCACACACCTACTGAATCAGAAACTCTCGGGTGGGCCCAGCAGTCTGAACAAGCTCTCCAGGAGATTCGAATGCACACTCAAGTTTGAGAACCACTGCCAACAGACTATTAACATGTGGGCTGGAACATCACTTCAGACAGCTCTTTTCCTTAAAAAACCATCTAACATTTTTCTGTTCCTTAAAAACCTGCTACAGGATGATGTCAACTGTTCTATTTTTGAGTCCTCATGATGAGGCTGACGATGATTCACTCAGCACCTTATGCGATCACTTAAATAGTGAGAATCCTTCTCTCCCACCCCTAGTGGAAGGTGACTGCTGCCTGTTATTTCTGATGTAATTACAGGAACAATTCAGTAACAAAAGCTTGTCCTTTATCAACCTCGGCAAAAGCTCTAAGAGAGTTATAATTATAACCCTCCATTCTTTTCCATAATGTGTTCATAACAACGTATCCTTTGAAACTGATCACACCACATGTCATAACAAGGAAACACAGAACCCAAGATCAAATTTAGTTTATTGTAAATAGAGATCAAAACTGCAAGTGTTTGGGCAAAGCTTTTCCAATTGACAGGAAACAAGTATGCATTAACCATCTGGCCTTATCTCATTTATCTCAGTGAAATATGAAAAAAGTTGATTTAATGCTTTCTATGGGTCCAAAGGTGACCTCACAATACTGAATGGTTTCATCACCAGACACCACCCAGCATCTAACTAAGTATGAAAGCAGGAAGCATTAAGGGGCATTTCCTAAATAATAAATAACCCTTTTCTATACCTTTAATTTGCTGAGGTGTGTATTCATTTGGAGAAGTTAATCTCATACCCGCTGTGAGGTCTCCTGATGAATCATGAATACCAACATATTATTAATTTCCCTTTCCTTTTTGATTAATTTCACACTTACACTGGATAAGAAAGGCGAGACTAATGATGTCTGGAAGACAGTGTTCAGTTCTTGTAAGATACTAAATCAACCTCAAGTGTTCAAGTAAACAGAGAATGCAGATAAGGAAATAATAATGTATTTGTCTCTAGGAAGCGTCCAAGGTGCCATGCAAACAAATGCCCAGAACCCAGAGAGTGTCAGCTGTAAACTCCAGTTAGTACTCTTCCGGAAGGGGAGGAGAACGAAAGCCAGAATTCTGACCATCACTATACACACCAATAAACTTGTGTCGTTACCATGGATGAAGAGATGGATTTATTTATCACACTACAATTCTCAGTCTTCCAAGGGTCTCTCTCTGCATTACTTAGCCTCTTCACCACCTTGTCCTCTCTCCATCTCTGCAACAATCCCAGGACTTCGAGCTTAATAGGCGTGAACAGACAGGTCTCCCTCATCGGAAGATGAGGAGCATGAAAAAGGAGCGTGAACTCAGTCTCATGATGCAATTTTAGAGACAGGGACCTTTGTGTATATATGCCAACAGTTCTTCCAATAATAACGTCTACATTGAGAACCTACTATGTGCCAGACACTAGGAGCTTTGTATTAGTTTTTTAACGTAACAATAGCTCTTTGAAGTACTACTATACACAGTGTGCAGATGAAGAAACTGAGGCTCAGAAAGGTAAATATCTTTCATAGGTGACCCCCATCTTCACAGAGATCTGTCAGGCTCCAAAGCCTGGAGTCTTCAACACCATACTGCTTCCCTAGAAGCATGAGTAAATAGGACATTTACGGATGCCTCGACATTATTCCAGAAGATCTGAAAGCTACGGGCATGGCATCTTCTTCTAAGAAACTTCCCCGCCTACTCCAGCTCCAACTGGCCCAAGTCTTCTTTGAATTCCAACTTTTAAATATAATTTCACAATTCTATGCTATCCTATTAGATTTTCTAATGTCCACTGTGTCGTAAATCTCCCCTCACAAACAAGCCTGCCCAACTAAGACTATATCCAAGTGCTAAATGCAGGAATTGGTCATCTCTGGCCATCGTCTAGAGTAACGCTGTCCAATATGGTAGCCACTTACTACATGCGGCTCTTTAAAATTTAAATTAATCAGAATAAAAAATTCAGTTCCTGTGAAGGTAGTCAAAAGGTACAAACTTTCAGTTATGAAATAAATAAGTCATGGAGATGTCGTAGACAGCATGGTGATTATAGTTAATACTGTGCTGCAGATTTGAAAGTTGCTGAGAGTAGATCTTATAAATTCTCATCACAAGGAAAAAAATTCTGTAACTATGTATGGTGACAGATGTTAACTAGACATTGTGATCATTTTGCAATATATACAGATATTGAATCATGTATACCAGAAACTAATATAATGTTGCATGTCAATCATACAACTTAAAAAAAAACAAAACATTCAGTTCCTCGGTCACACTAGCCACATTTCAAGCACTCAATAGCTACCTGCGGCTAGTGGCTATCGTGTTGGACAGCACAGATGCAGAACTTCTCCCTCATGGCAAAATGTTCTACTGGACCGCACTGGTGTCGAGATATTTTGGGACAGCATCTTTTCATCTAATATCCTTCCAACACTGTGCAGGGTGACCAAGTGTAGTCACCACAGAACTAATTCAGGGCTTCATCGGACTAACTGTGGCCATACCTACATGTCTTTGGAACTCATCTTTTAAGGAATAACATTCCTTGACAAGTTAGGTCATTTGATAAACTTATAAATAAAGCACGTGGGCCGACCTCCAAGAAGAGAAAAGTCAGAAATGAGAGGCACTAAGAAACAATCGTCATAAGCCCTTCCATTCAGAAAATCCACCCTATGCAACTGTAGGTCCAGAAACACCCAGGAGCAGCCACACAGACACCTGTGTGACCACCCACGCAGGGACATCCCTGAGGCACATCCTCAAAGTGCTCTCCAAGTGAGAAGTTAATCTCTGCTATTCCTCCTTGGCAAGCTAGGTTTCCCAAATTTGGTCTGTTGTTTCTAACTATTAAAGAAATCAATGCAAGGAAACCACCTCTCAAATCACTGTATTTCCTACCAATCACTCTCACTCAATTACTTCACTAAAAGTTGGATAATTGGCAATGAGGCAAGCTTCTGGTGACAATGACAGTGTGATAGCAGGCTAGAAAAGAGCCTGGTTACACCTGACCTCGAAGGAGTTACTTAAAAGACTTCCAGGAATTAAAAACTTGAGAAACTGGGATATAGCTCCAATTTGGGGAAGGATTCTAAAATGCAGTGTAGGTTACTGTTGGATTAGAACAGCCCTGAGTGGGGCACACAGTGATAAATTGGAAAGGTCACCGATTTGACCTTCGACTGTTACAACTGCATGGAGCATTTCTTCACTCCCTGGGTTCTTCATTGCTTTCATCATCCTCCCTCCCTGCTGTCTGTGCATTAGGTCCCTAGGATTGAACTCTGCGTCCAAGATAAGGCAGCCTTCATAGCTGCAGACATTGGTCTACAAAGTGGTGGACCCAAATCAGAATGCCACCTCTACTGCCAACTCCTTTAGGCAATTTTGGTAACCCCTTGAGTCCCACACTCAAACTGGTATACACATCAGACCTGGGCCTCTTGCACCATGATGATAAAGTACGGAATGGGAACTTTGTAGAGCTAGGACAAGAAATCAAGGCAGAGAGTTTTACTTATTTTTAAAGACAAGTATTGTTTGATTCTTTTTTTTTTTTTTTTTAAAGATTGGCACCTGAGCTAACAACTGCTCCCAATCTTCTTTTTTTCCCCCCTGCTTTTTCTCTCCAAATCCCCCCAGTACATAGTTGTATATTTTTAGTTGTGGGTCCTTCTAGTTGTGGCATGTGGGATGGCATCTCAGCATGGCCTGATGAGCAGTGCCAGGTCTGCGCCCAGGATTGGAACTGGCAAAACCCTGGTCTGCCGAAGCAGAGCTCGCGAACTTAACCACTTGGCCACAGGGCCAGCCCCAAGATGGAGAGTTTTCTAATAAGAATTCCAATCAATTGATCCTTGTGTGGGGGGTGGGGTGATGACAAACAAACACATTCTTCTCTTAGAGCCTATGAAAGTCACTTAATCCTGGATAAACATTCCTCTCTCCTAGCTCCCAACTCAGTCACATCAGTAAGGCCAATTTCTACCTCTCTTCCAGCATTACTCACCTTTGCTTAAGGACCACAGCCAACTGAATTACTAACCCTAATCAGAGTTCCAGCATTAACCATTTTCTGCCCAGTAGCTCACAGCAATAGCTTTGTAATCTGGTGGACCTTTCTCCAGCCTCATCCTCGTCCATCCCAATCCATTCCTGACCACCTACCAGATGAACTTTGGGAAACATCCCTTGGGCCAGGGCCAGGCCTTTCTGCTTCAATAAGACGGTTTAGGCACCATCATCTCTAAGATCAAACCCTGGCCTCTGAAGTCCTGCTAAGTCAGGAGGGACTGCTTCGCAGAAGCCAACCAGTCTACCTTTTCTCCCTATCATCTTCAGGTTTTCCCTGCACCCACTACATCCAACTTACCCTTCCCTAACACAAACAACATCCATGCGGGGAAAATGTCCCAGATCTGAAGTGCTAACTCCCTCCTGTGTGTGATAACATACAAAACCAGACTGTCAACTCCTCAAAGGGCAGGGCATGTCACACTTCTTGATATCTCTGAGGAGCATTTTAGACCCAGAATCTTACACAAAACCAATACTCCTCAAATATCTGAATAACCCACTGAAAAAAGTTTCTATCCATGCTAGTAAGTCCATTATTCTGACAGTGGATTTTCAGACCACTAAGACCCTGTCAATACAAAGTTTGCTCACCATGAGCCCCTGCAGGCTCCATACTGCAGCGAGAAGCCCAGGCTCTGGACTCAGGCTGCCTCATGAATTCCAGCTCCACCATTTCCCAGGCAAGGCACTTCACACCTCTAAGCCTCAGTCACATCTTCTGTGAACCCGAGATAATAATAGTACCTACCCCCAGGTCCCTGAGGATTGAAGAGACAAGGGTAAAGCACTTAGCATAGGGCCCAGCACCCAGCAGGCACTCAATAAATGCTCCTTTACCCCTCCTTCTCCCATTATTAGTAAGTCTCCTTAAGGAGACACGTAGCATAGTAGAAAAAACACAGTTACGGGGATAAAACTCACCTGTGTTCAAACCCCAACTCTGTTCAGCACCTAGCTGTGGGACCTTGGAGAAATTATTCAACCACTCAGCTTCGGCATCTTTATCTATAAAATGGGATTAATAACTTCAAAGAGTTTGTCTAAGGATTAAATGAGGGAACATGCCAGTCCATAGTCAGCCACTCAATGAGCGGCATTTACTAAATATGGTTTTAATTCAGCCAAAACACAACTGGAAAGGAAAAAACACCCTCGTACTCCTTGCTCACGTCATTGTCAAGTCCTTCCAGTCGCATTCTTTAAGTCCATAAACCAGGCCCCAGCCTTTTCAGCTGACAACCCCCACCTCCCCAGTCACATTCATCAGTGGAGTCCTCACACAGTGAATGCAAGAAAATTACACTGAGAACTGCAAGGAGACCCATTTCCTTAAGGCAAACAGGTGCATCCTCATTTTTATCGCTTTGCCAATTTCCAAACATCCATAGCTACTCCTAATTATACACGACACTAGCAAGGCCATTCCTGAAAGGAAAATACACCAGTACCACTGGCTACTTTTTTAAAACAAATCTCATGATTAAAACCATTCTAACAAAAAAGAGCCCAAAGTGCTAAGAGAGAAAAATCCACAGATTTGAAATGAATCTTGAAACGAGTGGATGAAAGTTTACAACCCCGCAAAAGGCAGGCCTCAGCCAGATGACACTCTTACTGGGAAGAAAAATAAACTCTCCTCTTTCAGATCAATTTACAAGTTTTTGAAAACTCAGAGGGGAAGTCAGAGCAAAGAGAGGCCCAGTGCTCCCACTCTCCTCTTCCTAGGGGCCCCGTGGTTCCTGGCTTCTGCCTCCTCCCAGCTCGGGTCCAGGGGCCCAGGAGGCCCAAGAGGCAAATCCTTGGCTCAGGTCCCTCAACTGCTAGAGGAGAGAGGAAGGGCAAGAGGCCAGCATTCAGAAGTTATATGAGTTACCAGGTAACCAGGTTCCCACCAGAAATATGTGTCTTCTATGGCAATAGTCTTACTCCATAGAGCTGAAAAATGACTTCACTTCCTTCCCCTGTTCCCAGGCCCAGCCCAGCCCCAGGGCAGGGCCCAGCAGTCCCCTCAATGCCCTGGCCTTGCTCAGGCACGTAGGCGTTTACCCCAGTCACACTCAGTCACCTGACGCAAGGACAGGCATTTCCTCTGATGCAGGCTGAAGAAGGCTCGTCAGAACCCAGAGGAGTGAGCTGTGCTTCACGCGGGCCTAAACTTCTCTGAAAAGCTGCAACTCACTGACCAACCAGAAATACTCCAAACAGCTCTCTGCCTCCAGCTTCCGTACCTCCTTCCACCACCACCTCCAGCTGTCCTCATTTTTTCCTCACCCAAACCTGCCTCGGGGCTCACAGGTGTTCCCTGCTAAAACCAAGAAGTCAGCTGGGTCCTCCCAGCTGATCACAGCCTGAAGTTCACCAGCAGTATCCAACAACACAGAAGATCACAGCTGAGCAGCAGCTAGCATTATTGAAAGCTCACTAACCAGCCAGATGCTCCCTATTTAGCTTTCAACAAGCCCTTTTAGGAGTTACTATCATTTGAAGATGAAGGAACTGAGACACAGAGTTAAAGTGACTCGTACAAAATCACATTGGTGACAGGTGGTGAAGCCAGGATGTGAACCCTGTCTAACCATAGAGCCCTCGCTCGTCACCTGTGTACCAGCCATGTACCTTCTCCACCTCTTGTCACTTCACTATCCTCTCACTCAAGTGCTAGAGGCAAGAACAAACCATCATCAGGGGCTGAGTGCTGGGGGCAGCGAGGATCAGCTGTTTCCACACGACACTGGGGCCAATCCTTTCACCACCACCTACACCGACAGCTGCACCCACCCTGCTCACTGGCATTCCTCCCGAGCGGCTCGGGCAAGCCAGACAGCACTTTGCAGAAGTGCACACTGAGGGTGACCACGTAGCCCAG